CGACAACTCTTCTTGGCGTCCAATTGGTCGTTTGCGTGTCTCATCGTTTCAACCTGGCAACTAAAGGTTTTTTTTTGGCGGGGCACGAGGACCTAGTTGGAGCGGTAAGTGCGCTGATGCTGGCGCTACGGACTACGAAGAACCCTGCTGAGCTCCGACGTCATACCAGCCTCGTGCCTTTGCATGCAAACGCTACGCGGTGGATCTCCATCTTCATGATTCTAGAGCGCTACGTGCGCATACGGGACGTGACCAAACGCGTCGACGCGATGTATGACCTCATGCCCAAGCCTGCTGCGCATCAGCGCATTGTTGCTCTCGTCGAGAGCATCAAGATATTTAACAGTGTGTGCAAGAAGCTGCAGGAGGAGGCAACATCGATGAAGTCCGTGCGGCTTCTATTCGACAAGATTACTGAGATGTTTCCCGTTACGGGTAACTACCTACGCCCCGACGCCGACATCGTCCATTCCCCTGCGTTTGAGAGCGCTGTCGAGAAGGTATGTTGCTGTATTACTCTTATGTTGCTTTAAGTTGCGCTAACCAATCTATATTTCTAAATTTCAAATTAGGTTGCTTGATGTACTGAAATTGAGTTGACACCAGAAGAGTTGCATGCCCCTCCAGCCATTCCAGCTGGAAGCTGCTACCACGGAGACCACCGCGCCGTCACGTGGTTCGCGTTCTCAGACACGCGCGTGCAGCACTGAGGACTTTGCAACGGCGTTGCCCCAGTCGAACCCGCCTCCCGTGCAGGTGACGCCACGGTACGACCCAATCATTACCGCCATTCCTCCGACCAGCAACCGCTGCGAGAGGCTGTTCTCGCAGTGCAAGCTGGTCATGACACCTCAGCGTGCATCGTTGCTACCGATGAATTTCGAGATCCTTATATTTCTGCGTGCTAACCGTAAGTTGATGAGACTAGATGTTGATGCCACTGACGATAACTAGTGCTCGAAGAACAATACAAAAGGTATTCCTCATTTATTTGTTATTGTTCTTCTTCGTATTCATTTATTTCTTATCGTTGTGAATAGCAGCAAACAAAATTCTTTATTGTATTGTGAATTCCGTCCAAATTGGGTCTGTTTGAGGAGCGGGAGGACAATCGCCCACATACAAATCCAAGTCATTAGTAGAACTCGCCACGTCATTTCTTGCCACACGTCATGATCTGATTTCGTACTTAAACGGTCAGTATACGCGATTGTATACGCTGGGCGATTTGGGGGGAGGTTCATTCAAAGAACTGCCTAATGGAAATTTTGAGTAGAACTCACAATAATGTCCCAGCACTGTTCTCTTCCCATGCATTATGTATTTCCAGTTTCACAGTGACTCCCATACATAATGGGATCAAACTAATGTACTTTAATGTATGTCACTATGCATTATTCGGGCTGGCCAAGCATTTACTGGTTCGTAGTAAGCGTGGTTTCTGCTATTGGTCACGGCTTGTATACTAACTTTACAAGTGCTGCCTGTACGCGCGCCTCTGCGGGTTTGTTCGTACCTGGGGCAAGCTCTTGATTGCGACTCGATGACTAATACAGGTCGGAAGATCCGAGAAAGATACCTACACGTGCTCAGATGGCTTCACTGCCGAGTTATGCGTCGAGTCGAAGGTCGACAACAGTACGTAGATTAAGCTCTAGCACAGAAAATTCATAACCAAAATTGTTCTCCTCCTACGTTGCTGTGCTCTTTGTAGCGTCGTCTAGACACACTATAATAGTCCAGAGGGTGCTGCAGGGTAGGAAATCACATGCGCACGACCGTTGCTTCTTCGCTTTACCACCTCGTCGCGTTGGATGGTCAGCGCAAAATGAGCATGCGCAGGAATTTACCGTCTACACCACATGAATCGTCGGTGTCGTCATGGCCACCATTACGCCGGAAATTTTCCATTGGGAACACAACGGAGCCAGGAAACAGATTGAGTATAATCAACCGTACTTAGAGTTGGAGATCGTTTGAAAGTCTGGCTCGTCCTGAAGGCAAACAAACTTGTTGACCACCGCACGCAGCGGAGAACAACACAGTAAAGAGAGCAGCACACCAGACAAGAGACTTGAAGTGAATGCTTAGAGCTGGCGTCACTGATTGGCTTCAGTCAAGCCTTCACGGCCAAGCCAAATCCTGGTGGCAAAGTCCCTCGAGAAACCCGCCGAAAGCGCTGGCTTGCTCGATTCATTCGCGCACACACATCATAAGTCGGCTACCGGCCACCCCGTTTGCACTAGCCATCGAAATCCCTGCTGCGTGTGCTGGCACACTGGCGCTCCATGCAGCCACTGCTGATAACCGTGCAAAATGAAGCCTAACGTGAATGAGTCAGCTAGTGCCGATGAATTAAATGCTCTGCAGCTGGTGCGCTGCAGATTGCTCGCATCCAAGCCGCAACCCGTCCACCGTAGTATTCTTCAAGAGCAGCAAAACAGAAAATGGAATTGAACCTTATCATTTCGAGGCGTGAGGCATTCAAATCTACGCGGCACGCCGACGACCCAGTCAAAGCCGGTCTCACTTCCAGAAACGCGTCTTGGCTGACTTGTTGTCTGTGATCTCGCCTTTTCTCTAGTCTCCATCTGGCGTTCGCTTGGTGTTTGCGTTCGACTCGACAGGCTCCGCGTCGTCTGCGTTGGAACTGCGAGCAGCTCAACATTCGAGCAAAGAGGGGCTGAGTTTCTTCATTCGCTCCACTCGCCTGTACAATTGAAATCGCCCCGTGTTCGTCAAGGCAATCACCTGCTGTGTCCTCCTTCGTCTACGCCGAGCGCTTCAACACCGCTTCAACTCGGCCACTCATATTGACCACCTTTATATACTGTAACCAACGGTCCCATGTTTGCCAAGCCACGCGTGTACCTGGGAGACGAGGAACGTCGCCGCAAGCAGCGCGATCTTAAGCGGCGGTACCGTGAGCGTCGCAAAGTAAGTCGCTTGTGTCGCAATGCGGTGCCGTATAGGGATACTGACGATCACTTTGAGTGCAGAATGACGTGCAGACCATGCAGCAGCAGGTGACGCAGCTGGAGGCTCGATACGACGCGCTGCTCCATGCGCAGCAGCAAACGGCCATGACGTCGCGTCGGGCGCCCTCTCATCTGGAACAGCAGTACGCGGCTGCCACGAACGAGCTCAACTCGTTGCGGCGCCAGATCGCAGTGACCAAGCAGAAATTAGCAGAGTTCGACGGCTTTGCGTCTTCATTGGAAGTGTATCTGACCGACTTTGAGGCTCCGTCAGCCGTCACTGCAGCTTCATTGGCTTCGGGTGCTGCCAAGAGCTCCTTATTGATGGCACCGTCACTTCCCAGCCCGACACCTGCAGAATCGCGCGCGCGACTGACCGAAGAGGAATGCCAGGAAATGATCAAGAAGTGCTACTATGAAATCTTCGACCGTCGATTCCGTGGCCAATGTCTGAGCTCGGGTATGCACATGTTGGGCTGGGAGGATCAAATGTTTCTGGACGGTACGACGCTGCAGTTCTCCATGTCAAAGCAAGTGACGGGCATGTCGGCCAATACGCTCATGCAGAAGACGTGGGATATCGTGACTACAGAGCAACACATGCGTACGATTCAGTATTCGACTCTCGGAGTCAAGGTCCTGCACAAGATCAACGATGATACGCTGGTTATCCAGCGCTGCGTGCACCACCCGCAACTCAAGACTGTCAACTGGAACAATATGGTCATGTTCCGCTTGCGTAGTCCTCGTGGATATGTGGTCGCGTACCAGACTATCAACCATCCAGCGTATGCTGAGGGATACACCGAGTATTTCACAGGTCATGAGGACATTGTGGCCGAGGATCTACAGCCCAAATTCTCTCGTGTCAATACGCTCCAGTGGTTCCTCTTTGAGGAGGATGACAACCTCGACTTCGACATGGACAGTGGAGGTTCTGACCTCGAGTTACTTGGCTCCAGTGACAGCGAAGACTCCTTGCCAAGCATTAAGAAGGAATCTTTACCGAGAGGGAGGAGGGGCCTTGTACAGACGCATCCTTATCCAGACGCTCAGCGTCGTGTTTCCGGTGGCGTCAAAGTCTCATTTGGAGGCAAAGTGGACAACCGAGACACGTCGTATGCCCGCTTTTACATGTTCGAGGTGCTCACGTACATCATCCGCTGGGAAAACGCGGTGGGTTCTGCGCGACTCACATTTTAAACACCTCGAAGGCAATCAAGTAACTTTGCGTAATTAAATTAACGATCATAAAGGCATGGTATCAAGTAAAGGCCCTTGATGTTGAATTGCAGTCTATTTAACCGTTTGAGCTAGTAATTTAATGCTAACTATTAAAATTATATGTAGCCTCCTGGTTGCCCATCAGTGATGACGCGTCTAACGTATCCGATAGTTCGACGTTGAAGTGACGGGGTGAAGTCATCCCATCAGTATTCGGATCCTATCTGGTGACCACCAACATTGAGATCGTCCTCTTTAACAAGCCGACCGGTAGTTCATTATCCAATTTCCCTTCCTGAGCTGAACCGAGTGTCCTGATGGTGACAGCTGTATACGACGTCGTGATCGTGGGTGCTGGCCTCATGGGCAGCGCTGCCGCCTACTACGCTGCGAAACAAGGCAAACGTGTGCTGGTACTGGAGCAGTTCGAGCTGCTACACGGCAAAGGCTCCAGTCACGGCACCAGTCGCATCTTTCGCGTAGCCTATCCGAACGACGTTTACACGAAGTTGAGCCTCCAGTCCCTCAAGCTGTGGCAAGCCATCGAGAAGGAGAATAATCTCGAGCTCATCCGAATGACGGGCGAACTGGACTTCGCCCCAACCTGGAACGACGATCTCCAAGGTCTCGAAGAGACTTTGACGAGGTTCAAGGTGCCGTTCGAGGTGCTCAACGCGGCCCAAGTGAACCAACGCTTCCCCGGGTTCTCCCTGCCAACCAACAGTCATGCAGTGTACAACCCGTTGGCAGGTGTGCTGAACCCCACACTGGCGATGGCTACCATGCAGAAGGTGGCCAAAGGACTGGGAACCGAGTTCCGTGAGCACAGTCTAGTCAAGAGTGTGGAGGGCGAGCATCAAGCCGGAGGAGCCCCGCTCGCTGTCGTCACGCTGGCCAATGGAACGGTAGTGCGTGGCCGTCAGTGCATCGTCACTGCTGGTCCATGGACGGAGAAGCTCTTGAAGCTATCCGGATCGGATAATGTCAAGCTGCAGCCGATCGCGACGTTCGGAGCTTATTGGAGATGCAAGCAGGAGCTGTACACACCCGACAAGTTCCCCGTGTTCATTAAGTACGGATACCCAGAGGTCTATGGCTTGCCAATGATGAATGCTCATGAAGGAGTGAAGATCTGCCGCCATGACGGACCGGATGTCAATCCGGATGAACGTCAGGGAGTGGATCAACCTCAGAACGAAGAAAAATGGCTTCAGGCTTTCGTCGCTGAGAACTTTTCGAGCGTGGACTCGAGCTCGCCTAACCAAGTGGACCACTGCATGTACACCATGACCCCAGACTCCAACTTCATCCTCGACTTCCTTCCGGTACCTGCGAGTAAAGCTTCCCCCACTGCGACGAAGAGAATTGTAGTTGGTGCTGGCTTCAGTGGCCACGGAGCGAAAATGACTCCAGTGATCGGTAAGATGCTCGCTGACCTGGCGATCAAGGGAACGACGAATCACCCCACTGAGGTGTTTCGCATCACGAGAGATGCACCTCCTCAGGAGCACTACTCGTTTCCAAGGAGCAGCTTGTGATCGGATGGTAAGTTTCGTCAAATTGGGACTTTATTCTACCTCTCGCCTGAATTTGTACGAACAAGCTTGTGTCAATCCGTAACCACGAAGAAAATAATGCCATGTTTAGTTTGTTTCGAGAAGAGCTTTGTCTTGAATACTGCTCTCCGAAAACCCGCGTATTGACAGAAAGCCATTCGCCAAATTGACAGCAAACGATGAAGTCGTTGGTGTGCGCGATAGTCGGAGACGGCAAAGTCTTCGGTGTGGACATTGATGAGCGTGAGCAACTCTGGCATTATTAAGGAGAAGAATCATCTTGGTTTTGTTGCGAAGGACTTGACGCTGGGGAATTATTATGGACGGTGAATTCTCAATTTCATCAGCTTGGAATTGGCTCGTGTTTTCTTCACTGAGGAAAGCCTTACTGTGCAAAAAGGCGTCTAGCAGGGGAGGAGAGCAAGCTGAAATTTGTGTCAACGTCAGATAAAGTACGAAATTCCGTCAAAGTACGATTCGAGGCGGATGGTTCACAATTTGAAAAGCTCAACACAATCATGGCTAAGTCTCATGGCGACAAGAAGAAGCGTCGCCGCAACGACAAAGTGCGTCCTAAACTCTGCATAACTCCAATTACCTCATCTTAGCACTCACCAATGCAATCCCATTCTGCCAATAGAAACACGCGGCCAACAATTCTAACGCCGCCACGCAGCAAATTCGCGCCGTCAAGTCGCAGGCCAACGCCATTTTCTCTCTGACGGCATCGTCCAACCCAAATCCCAAGAATTTGGGTCCATTCAGCGACCGTCAGCGCATTTTGGTGGTCGGTGATGGAGATTTTTCCTTCTCTCTGTCTATCGCCGTCTTCCTGGTACGCAACGGAGACCGAATTGCAACTCAAAAAGGAGCTAACCGACTGTTAATTATCTGTAGGGTGGCAAGAACTTGGTAGCCACATGCTACGACTCCAAACTGGACCTCAAGGAAAAATACTCGAACGCGTTGTTGAACTGTGACGCTCTGGAGACGGCCGGGGTGCGACTGAAGATGCTAGACTGGTCGAAATATCCACTAAAACTATTTTATTGTTTTAATACCCTGCAGGCTGAGGTGCACTTTGATGTGGACGCGACGCACTTAGAGAAGGAGAACTGGTTGAACGGTGCTCAGCCTTTCCAGTCGATCGTCTTCAACTTCCCACATCTTGGAGGTGCGACGGAAGAGGATGTGGCCAACAACCAGAAACTCTTGAGGGATTTCTTCTACTCGACGCGGCCGTATCTGCATCCCACACGTGGACAAGTGCTCGTCTCACTACGTAATACGCTCTTCTACAACCGCTGGAAAATTCAGGAACAGGCAGCAGCGAGTGGATTCAAATTGAAACGGTGAGTTTGTTTATCTTGCAAAATAATACGATAAAGTGGGTGTTTAAACGGTTTACTGGTTGGAATTTCGACAGCACGGAGGTATTTGACGCGAGCATCTACTCTGGTTATGAGCCTCAACGTACACACCCGGCGTCATTCCGAGGCGAGCCGCCCTCTACGACTGGAGCTCACTATTTCATCTTCACTCTGGACAAGAGCATTGAAGTGCTTGGCCCTCGCCAGCAAGTACCTCAAAAACAAAAGGCAAACGATTCGGTCCGTAGCAGTGCAGTGAAGAAGGTAAGACTGTCTTTTAACTGAATTTTACTCTTTAAAGTTTGCTAACTGGGCACTAAATTGATCAACAGGAAAAAGCGAAGAAAGCGGCGGCACCAACGAAAATGACTTGCCAGCCTTGTGGTCTCACGTTTCGCGACGTCAAGAAATACAACGGACACATGAATTCAGCGAAGCATGCCAAGAAGGTCAAGGCATTGAAGAAGAAACACTAAGCAGTAGTTTTTTCACGACGACGCTTATAGATTCTTGTTAAACGTCATTTACTCGAGCTCTACGACGAGTTTTCCTACGTTTTCACGGGCGAACATGCGGTCGATGGCATCAGGAATGGACTGGAATCCCTTGTATTCTGTGGGATCCACACCAGGCTTCAATTTTCCCTCGTTAATGAGCTTCAACAACCGTTCCGTGTGTTCTCGAATGTGCTCTTCAAAATGATACATGAAGAACCCTCGAATGGATGCAGACTTCATGAGAATCTTCTCGTTCGCTTCCCACGATAGCAGCGGCGCAGGTTTCGGAGCGTTCTCCTTGTCTTTGGTCTCCAACACTCGCGAGATGAAGCCGATCTTGATGATCCGACCATGAACTGCGATGTTCTCGACAGCAGCACGGAACATTTCGCCTCCAATGGACTCGAAGACGATGTCCACTCCACTCGGATACTCCTTCTTGAGCACGTCACTGACGTTCTCCTTGTTGTAATTGATCACACGGTCACATCCGAGCGTCTTCAGAGCTTCCACCTTCTCGTCCGAGCTGGTAGTGCCGATAACGTGGTTACCTGCCATTTTAGCGAGCTGCACGACGAACTGTCCGGTGCCCCCAGCAGCCGCAGTAACGAGAACGGTCTCGTTCGACTTCATCTCTCCGAGATGTTCAAGGCAAATGGACGCAGAGACGCCGCCCACTGCGACGGGGAGCGCGTTCTTCGACAGCTCCGGGATCTTGATAGCAGCCGACACTGGCACTTGCACGTATTCAGCATAAGCTCCAAGCGTCTGGTACATGACGGCGTCTCCAACCTTCACAGTCGATACATTACTTCCGACCTCAGTGACGAGGCCTGCACCTTCGACACCAGCGATAAACGGCAATTTGTCATGGTACATGCCATTCGTGAGGTTGACGTCGGTCGAGTTGATGCCCAGGAAGCGGTTCTTGACAACGATACTGTCAGGACCAGCAGTGGGCAGTTCCGGGACATCCACAATTTCGGTGGCGACACGGAAGTCCTTGGTCAACTTTTGGACTTGCACTGCACGGTAGGACGGCATGCTTCTGGTGGCGAGTCTACGGGTGAGAGATAGAAACGGAATGGTGCTGTGGTAGGGGGGAAGTGAATTCCAAAGTGAGCAAAAGCTGGCGAAAGCGAACCCGTTGCAAATCCTTAACAAGAACCTGTAATCCGAAGACGAACGCAATCTCTGTGCCACCCACCATCATGATTGATTTGTCATCTGAGAAAGCTCGGATCGTGTAAACAGGTACAGTAGCGTTAACACGGGAATCACTTCGTATCATGTATTACGTGCCCACAGCTTCGCGCTGCGTATTTTTCATTTGTTGAAACTTTCTTTCGTGCGCTACTTTAGCACACTTACTTGGCTTCAGTTTCAACGGGGAGATCGCTACGCATGCCCCACTCCGACCACGAGCCGTCGTATACGGGAGCCCTGCAACAAAAGCACACGGTTAAGTAAGACATTATTCACACAAAGAGGTAGCATTCTCGTTCGTCTGACACTCACTTCTCCAACGGCTTGCCGGACAAGTGCAGCCCTAGCGTCAAGACACTCGCAGTCACACCAGAGCCACAGCTACGAGCAAAGTATGTCACGACACCATCAACCATCAACCATTAAATCGACCAGAAAATAAATTATGCAAGACAATAAAGAAACCTACGTCGTGATGATCGGGCTAGTTTCGTCCATTTTCACATCTACCGGTCACAAATTACAAAAAAAAAAAAATGTTAGCCCGCTCTTCCATGACAAAAGATAAGTTATGCACGTACTCGCTTCGGCAAAGGCATTCTTGATCTCAGCCAGGTCGCGGAAAAGCTGTCGATAGCCATACACAACGTCAGTTCTTCAAGCTTAAAATCGACACTCGTAGTCACCCACCGAGTAGTCGTCTGGGCTGACAATCTTGCCGAACGGAACGTTAACAGACCCCGGGATGTGGCCGCCACGCATGCCAGGACGCGGTTCCTACAGCGAGCACAAGTCAGATCTCTCATCAATCAAATAATCAGCTTTATACCGACGTACAGGCTCCTTGGCGTAGAATCGCGGGGCTCCACGAGCGTCAACGATCTGCGTATCCGTGTCGATCTTGGCCAGTACGTCCTCCCACGAGACCGCAAGCTTCTCGTTGGGTTGGGCCTTGTAAGACGCTCCAGCCACCACCTGTTCGGGTTCACCAGTCTCGATCTCGCGTTTCTCCTTCTTCCACTTGGTGATGCCGCCTACATACAATGGGAGAATTAAATGAGTTACACACACTCTCTGTCGTTTATTGTAGGGTTAGCCCACCGTTAAGGATGTGGACGTTGTCGTGGCCAAAGTACTTGAACGTCCACCAGCAACGCGCCGGGCTGCGCCCCATACGACTCGTTAGTCGTTATTAGATAATAAATAACATTTTATTATATCCACTTCTAACCTGAAGCAGTGCTTGCCCCCATAGACAATAACCGTGTCGTCATTCTCCACTCCGAGGTACATCATGGCGTGCTCAAACGTCTCCGCTACAATTTAGCACAGGTTTTAGCGCTTCAATCTGTTACTATGAGAATACAGCAACTTACTCTTCGGCAGCATGTGCGGCAGAGTGGACGTCGTGTCGGAGATCTGCTCAATGTCGAAGAACTGGGCGCCTGGCAGTCGCTCCGAGGTGAATTCCTGCTTGGCATCGCGGCTCTTGTCCAGGTACCAGGACGCGTCCAGGAAGCGCACGCGACGCTCGCCGCTCTGCGAAAGGCTTTGGGCCTGCTCCGTCGACAGCAGCGGCGACAGGGAGCTCATCAGGCGTGAGGACAACGATCTGGTCTGGAGCAGCGGGGAAGAGCGTGCGAGCATGATTTTGCAGAATGAGCAATACAAACTGCAAGTTAGAATTATGAATGCGCATCAATTCTCCGGTAAAGGGTATTTACAATAATAGACAAGTTGAAGCTGAAAGTATCTTTTTTGGATACTTAGTATGCAGGGCTAGACTACCGTAGAGCTCTTGTCACCGCGATTAAAAGAATAAGACGCAACGTGCAATGGACATTACGCTGGACTCGGGACGGGCGTCATGATGCTGCTTTCAAACTCGTTGCGAGACGCAAGCTTCTGGCGGTGCTTGTAGGCTGCGAAACCGGCGATGGCAACAATAGCTCCGACACCAGCGACGATAGCAGCAACACCACCAACACTCATGCTTGTCGCGCCGGTACCAGTCTCACCTGCCGTAGCAGTTGATGTACTGAGCTGCTGAGCAGGTTGCGGCGCTGACGTAGTCGGTGCAGACGTAGGTGCATCCGAAGGTTGGAACGGCGTGTCCGTTTGGGGTGGAACGTCCGGCACTGTAGGCTGCGGCGTCGGCGTGGTCGGGTTAGCCGCCGATTCTGAAGGTGTTGTTGCTGGCACCTCTGGGTTACTGGGCGGAGCGTCAGTATTAACTGTGGACGGGTACGGAGTCGGTGACGGCGCATCAGGTACGTAAGGGGTCGTTGGTGTAGGCGACGGAGCTTCCGGGTACGCTGTTGTAGGTGACGGAGTAGCAGCAATCGACGTAGGGACAGGAGCTCCTTCCGTCACATAGGAAGTGCTTGGGGCAGGTGTTATGTTGACATACGTCGGAGCAGGTGTCGGATAACCACCGGCCTCCGTCTGACCGAATTTACAGCCCCAAGCACCAGACGAAACACGGCCGCATTCGGCATCCATTGGCGCCACGCAGGAACTGGCACTGGTCCAACTCGGAATTGTTTCGATGCAGTCTTTGGTAGCCACGTCACCCTTGACAGGGCACTGCGACCCAGCAGGCTCGTCGTCAGATCCGCTGCAAACTGGCCCCTGGATGCAGTATGTGGCATCCCCCTCCACAGACACTTCAGTGCACGAGGTTGACTCCTCAGCGGTCTTCGACGGCGCTGGTGTCGGGTAGCCGGATTCCTGTCTTGTAGGTGCCGGAGTGTCCTCAGCTTTCGACGGTGCAGGTGTTGGGCCGTCCTCTGTTGTCGGGTAGGGAGTTCGAGCTTCGGACTCTTCCGTAGAAGCCGTTGGTCCCGGTGTCGGTTTACCGGGTTCCTGATTCGTTGGAGCCGGGGTATCCTCAACTGTTGATGGTGCCGGCGTTGGTGTTTCGGACTCTTCCGTAGACGTTGTAGGTGCCGGTGTCACCTCGCCGGATTCCTGATTCGTTGATGCTGGGGTTGGTGCCGGGATTTCCTCAACTGTTGATGGTGCCGGCGTTGGTGTTTCGGACTCTTCCGTAGACGTTGTAGGTGCCGGTGTCACCTCGCCGGTTTCCTGCTTCGTTGGTGCTGGGGTTGGTGCCGGGGTTGGTGTTTCGGACTCTTCCGTAGACGTTGTAGGTGCCGGTGTCGCCTCGCCGGATTCCTGATTCGTTGATGCTGGGGTTGGTGCCGGGATTTCCTCAACTGTTGATGGTGCCGGCGTTGGTGTTTCGGACTCTTCCGTAGACGTCGTTGGTGCCGGCGTTGGTGTTTCGGACTCCTCCTCTGATGTCGGGGAGGGAGTAGAGGATTCAGACTCGTCCGTAGATATCGACGGTGCCGGAGATGGATTAGCGGGCGTTGCAGAAGTCTGCGCTGGAGCCGGTGCCGATTGGACTGGAACAATCAAAGCGGGTGGTGCTGTTGTCGCTGGCGCTTGCTGCTGGGCGACGTTGGTGGCAGCATCGACGCACAACAGCATAGCAGCGAAGAGAATCACGCTGATCTTCATGATTCTTCGGGGCCCAGCTGTATAAGAACGCGAAAGCTCAGGGACCTGCCTGTGTTGCAGCTAAGCAAATTGAAAAGTGAGACTGAATTGTGGTGTCTTTCAACGCTCCTGCACCCGGACCCAACGAGTCGGAGACGAACGCAACGGCAGCGCAAGCGTCAGCTGAATCCACCAAAACAGGATCGCATGTGGAGTCCCACAAACAGCTTCCGAACGGTTGCTTTTTCCTTGCTCAATACACAAGCACCGAGGGTTAAAATAAGGCTTGCCGATCGAAGCAGTTGGAATATCCGTCTAGTTGTCGCTGGGAAATGAAGATTCCACAATGGATGAAAAATTTAATACCCCAACGTCCAAACCTTGTTGTCTAGCCATTCTAGATGCAACCTGAACAAACGGTGGTAGCAATTATGGGTTTCAAGTAGTACACGGTGGAATTGGTAGTACGAGATGCCTCGCTTTATCTCTCTCCTTCAGAGCCAGTCGTCTGTCATCGACCGCCTGCATCTGCATTTCAAAAGCGTCGTAACCTTGACTTAGTTTCCACTTGGTGCCACCCACCTGTTCATTGCAGTCGCTTCATCTGAAGAGTTTCCGGCCACTCGGCGGAGTTGTCGGGATTCTTCAGCGTCTCCTATCAATCGTGTAGAATGCCGGCGCTTGTGGAACGATTGGCTTGTTAGTGTCAGATATCCAACGGTACTTGCTGCTTGAAGCTGATCGATTATTTTTTAAGTACGATTTATAGACGGGCAGCCATGACCGAAGAAGCATGGGACTTCAGCTGGATGGCGGTGGCCGTGCAGAGCCTGGAGACGTACGAGGCTGCACTTGAAACCGCGGAGGTGCGTGTGTGCATGCGTCACTACAACTATAGATTCTAAATGGCTGCTGTATTTAGTTCCCGAGCTTGGTATTGGCGGCGCTGGACGAACTCCTACAGGCCCCGGAGGTCAATGCTTTGCAGCTGCAAGAGCTAACCGACGTTTGTGCGTTAATTGCTACAGTATGAGCATGTTGGTGCTGAAGTTCACGCTGACGTTAGGTCGATTTAGTGCTGCAGATGACCGTGTTCCCCATAGACTTGGACCTTCCCCATGACACGGTAACAACGCTGCATTCAACTCGAGACTGGGCCATTCAGACACTGTTGGACATTCAAGTGGCTCAGTCTGGGGATATAAAGGGCGACACACTGCAGCCTCCAGCCATGTCCAAGTCATTACAGCAGATGCAGAATAAACTGTTCGTGTCGGCGCCTTGTAGACAGTCAGACGTACAGATGGAGCTGCATCAATCACTACTTACTGCAGTGCAGACGGAGGAGGAGAAAGATATACTCTCTGATGTACTGGAGTTGTGCTCTACGAGTCTGGAGAATGACGAACAGTTCCTGCAGTTCACAGAGGCTGCGTTGTCAGGAAGGACGGAGGCGTTATCTTTTGGCAGTGCCTTCCTCCAGCGACTATTTGATCGGCGGTCCGTGCAATTGCAGGGATGTGGACGGCGTCTGTTTGATGCTTTGACACTGGGGAGCAAAATTCGCGTGTGGGCGAATCACCTTCCGAGTTGGCGCTCGCACTTGCAAACGTGGATGCTTGATGCTCACCGAGAGCCATTCAAACCAATCAACGCTGTGTTGCCTGACGGTTGGTGGCTTCAAGACGTCTCAAGTGATTCTCAGTCTGATGATATTACTGTGGTGGCAGCGTGTCGTCGATATTCGTATTTGTATGTTACGTTCATTGAGTGGTGTCGACGTCATGTAGATCTGCTCTCATCCTGTCGCAGTATGGAGGTGGTGAGTATGATATCAACAAGCACAAGGCAAGGAAAAAATGCTGCGCGTCTATTTAACCGCCAATTGCTAAGTCAAATACCGCTAGGAGACGTTTGGTCCCAGTGCCAGCGAGAGCGAGTATTCGTCACGTTGAGCAGCACTCTCAAACGCCTTCAGACAACACGCAGCGCTTCAGATATTGTATGGCAGTATGAATGGATTGGAATACTAGAGCGGCCTCGGTTACTTCACGAAGCACTGGAGACAACATTCAGTGAAGTGGGAGCCAGTGATGAAGATGACAAGGATCTGTCCGTAGCGCGTTGTGCTGCTCGGATTTTTGGCTGGTTTTACTCGTTTTCTAGCACCGAATCGGCTGGTGAGATTGCCGAATTGCTCACAACGATATCGTCGGAATTAAACGTGCCAGATATTCATAGTGGGGCGCAGTGGCTTAGACGAAGTCGCGCCGACTTCGGGACACTTCCTATCTTGCGCCTCCGTGTTGTTTGGTTTTGGCTGCTGAAAAGTATCGACGTCGAAGTGCAAACTCCATCGTCTGTAAGTGAGAATTACGCTGCGTCAGCCACGACTGACGTTCTTGAGTCCGTCGAGTATATTTTCCGACGATTCACCCCACCCAGGGCGAAGAGGTAAGAAGTATGCACATGAATTTCATTTTTTTCTATCGCTAATTTGTTGGCTTTTGCCAGGCCTTTTCAAGTGGAGCTGGTGACCCAACTCGTCGTTGAGCTGGAGTGGCGCTTGACGAACATTAACGTGAACACGAAAGAAATGTTTCTGAAAAAGATGGCGCCGCTGTGTGCGTGGCTTACGAAGATCGTGCGGTTGATGCAGCTCGAGGAGCAGAGTGCGCATCAGAAAGGCACTAAAAATCGCTACGGCAACCGCAGAAGTCCTGCAAGTGACGTGCAACATTTAATCGAACGACTCGAACAGTTTTCGCGCTGAAATGAAGTTTTACTTTTGATTCGCCTCTGTTTTAACGTCGAAAAGCCTTGCCAACATGGTTTTACTGTTGCAAGACGCCGTCCGACTTCTGGATCTTGAGCGAGAAGTCCAGGCACGGATAGCCCTGCGTGAGTTTGCCCTGACTAACAACGTCCACATCGGGCGACACGTACTGGCAGAGCGTCTCGGGCGTGATGCCACCGCTGGCCTCAATGAGCAGATGAGGGAACTGCTTCTTGAGTTCGGCGGCCGTAGACTTGAGCTGCTCCGGTTCAAAATTGTCGAGCATGACGATGTCGGCCCCGGCCTTAGCGGCCTCCTGTGCCTCCTCAATGCGACGGCACTCGACCTCGATCTTCATAGAGAAGCCGGCAGCCAGCTTGGCCTTGCGCACGGCCTTAGTGATGCTGCCGGCCGCCCACACGTGGTTGTCCTTGAGCATAACCATTTGCGACAGATCGTGGCGGTGCGTGGAGGCACCGGCCACCAGTAGCGCGTATTTCTCCACGAGGCGGAAGCCTGGTGTCGTCTTGCGGGTGCCGGCCACGTGGCCGTTCCAGCCGAGCGAGCGCGCCTGTTCCACGGAGCGTCGGGCCTGCGTAGCGACGCCACTGGCACGCGTGAGGATGTTGAGGGCCGTGCGCTCGCCTAGCAGCAGCTGACGGCACTTGCCCGTCACTTTGGCCACCGGCACTTTGCCGCCCGGGACGCTACTGGGCTTGACCTCGTCGCCCTCTTTCAATAGCCATTCGACGTGGCAGTCGAGAGAGCGGAAGACTTCGGTGAAGAATGGAACACCGGCCAGTACTCCCTCCGACTTGCCCAGAAGCAGCGCCGTCTCCTCCGTCTCTGCAGTAACAATTAGAGTTAGAGAGTGCTGTGGGACGTTAGAGAGGGGGATGAAGAGCACGCACCGCCGACCACGAAGCCGCCGACGTCGAAGGACGGAATGTCGTCCTCAAGCCAGAGCTGCACGTGCTTGATCCACGACGGGGGGAGCAGGTGCGCGAAATTGTTGCTAGGCTCGGCCATGGTCTGATGGAGGGGTACGTGAAGCTTGATGCCGAGCGGCCTGAATTGTATCTGCGTGCGTGGCACGACTCGTTGACGAAAGAGTACCGTGATTGGTGCGACTATACTACATACAAAGTCTAAGATGCTGTTGCATATTGGAAGCGGTGGGCTGGCCAGCTGTTGAGCGAGTACAGGCTTTCCATGCCGCCTTGTCACCGCCTACAGTTCATCCCGAATGCGTTGAACTAACTGCATGCAATGGAATGCTGTTGTCATCGCATTGATGCTGGGTACAGCCGAGGGAGATGTGGATGTTATGAAGCGACTCCCGCTGTTCGTACGGTACGAACCGCTGGAGTGAACATCGAACGGCATACAGTTGGTGCTGCAAATAGCACTGATAGCTGCCGTTCAACATCTATTGTACTTTGCCGTGTTCAAGGCGAGTGGCACTGTTGCCCGCATGTGCATAAATGCATTTCGGTGTAAACCTCAGCGTGTTAATATCGCGAGGATGAACTACATCTTGCCCTGCCAGTGAGTGGATTTTACCGCTATGACGTGTGGATGCCTTGACTGGCCTGACGATGCCTTCACGCTGACTTGAACTGTGTTGGGCTATCGCGAGCCACACTTTTTGCAGTGGCTGTGACCGTTGCTCCTCGAATTGGCAACCCTGCACCCGTTTTTGAATCGTGCCGTTGCTGGTTGAGGGTCTTATTCGGTGTTCAGCACATCAAGTGGAAGTGCGCCACACAGTGGGACGCTGCTTTTTGGGCGATCCTTCCTTGTGTTGAAGGGCGACCCATACTCACGCCAAGTACAGCCACAACGAACCCCAAAGCTCGCACCAGTCACTCGCACTGTAACCACCGAGGCCAAGGCCGAGGCGTGGAAGCAGGCGAGGAGGCAGTGCTTGCTTCTCTTTGCGGCGTAAAGATCTCCAAAGCATCAGCAATAATAGTGACGGCAAACGGCTCGATCCTTTTCCACTTCTCCAGCATTCACTCACCATGGTGAGCGACGTTGAGAATGAGGACCAGCACTCTCCCGGTGCCTGCGACGTGTGTGGAACCACATCCGCCGCGCTGCGCTGTGAGGCCTGTCGCCTCGACTTGTGCGTGTCCTGCTCGCGTACGCGCCACCGCAGCAGTCTCCACTTGACCACGGGTCGCTTCCGCTTCTATCGTCAAGAAGGAGACGACCAAGAGGACGACTCACCGTCCACAGCGTCACCGCCCAGTTCGCCCGCGGCCGAAGAGCTGCGTAGCTCGTCTGAGACGACAACTAGTGACGCGCTCTGGGGCTTCGACGATGCGTTGGCAGAGTCGATACGCGCACTAACGTTCGCTACTGATGAAGAGCCCAGCGTCGAATCTACTGCACCTAAATCAACAACTACTACTACTACGACTATTGAGAGGCGACCGCGTAGCTTCTCAGACTACGTGGCGTTGGGCGACGGCGAGCGCTGGCGAGCACAGGGCGAACTCAGTGAGCTCTGGGACGCCATGCGGACGAACTTCGCCTCGCGCCACGTGGTCGTGCGCTGCGGTGCCGGCGTCTGGGACGCGCTGGATGTGCGTCGCGTCGTGGACCGCCTGAACGTACGTTAATTAGATAGCAACGTTGTTACGTTAAGAACTCACATGTGATCATTTCTTGCAGAACTTTGGCAGTGTGGCTAGCACACGGCGCGAGTTGACTGCAGGAGGTTTGCTCTTTTGCACCTTCTTCGATCTTACGAGCGCAGTGGCAGCAGTTGACCGCTGGCGCGCCGATACCGACATCATCAGCTATTGCCTGCCCTACGAACTTCCGGACGACGTCAACTCGGCGACACTGCTCGTACGCTTCGCCCTCGGTGGGTCGACTGCCGCCGAGCTACATCATGTATGTACATGTTTCGGTCAGGTGGCCAGCGTCTTGCAGCCTGATCCACAAGTAGCCAAGTTCATCGTTGAGTACAGCGACTCGCGTGCACTACCCGGTGCACTTAACGGCCTGCCACACGCATTCCACGCCACTGGGCCACTGACTGTGGCTCGCACTACACCTCCAACGTTGGATGTTTCCAAGCTCAAACTCTTCCAGGAGTGTCTGAATCGAGCAGCAGCCACACACCCACGAATAACTCGGACTCGCCCCAAGAGCTTCTCGTCTAGCAGCACGTCGCTTCTGACGTCGCCTACATCGTCCGTCGCGTCATCGCTCAACGCGTCCTTCCTCGAAGGTGCTGGCAACAACAGCCCCATGGCATCCACCACGGCGGCCACGTATCCAGGAGAACTCACGTCCCCAGTGCTGATGCCTCAGGAAGAGCAGCAGATCTGGGCGAGGCCAGCGCCTCGAGCCCGGAGCAACTCGTCCTCATCGTATCTTGGCGGCTCGTTGTCGTCCAGCAGCTTTGGCGATTCGGCGTATTCCAACGGGTTTACACTCCCGTCGTCCAGCAGCATCAGCACGTTGTCGAGTCGCGGTAATGGATATTCGTCGTTCCAGGCCGGCAACCAGATATCTACAGACCCACAGCAGCATTCTTACTACGATTTTCGAGCACGACAGCGTATTCCAGCCAAGTTTGCGTCCATGAGAAGCAGTTTCAGCAACAACGACCATTTTTTCCGGTCCAATGCTGGGGCCAGTGGTGGCCACGCTGGTGCTCATGGTAGCAGCTCCACAGGACGTCCCAGCACTGGACGAAACGATCAAGGTACCGGCGAATTCAGCTTGTCGATCGAGAAGGTAGCGTCGGGTGAGGATAAACGAACAACGTTGATGATCCGCAACATCCCCAACAAGTACACGCAGCAGATGCTGCTCTCGGAGATCAATCGCAATCATCGTGGCAACTACGACTTTTTCTACCTGCCCATCGACTTCAAGAACAAGTGCAACATGGGTTACGCCTTCATCAACTTTATTGAGGCGGCGCACATTGAAGCGTTCCACAAGGAATTCGACGGCCAGAAGTGGACCAATTTCAACAGCGAGAAGGTCTGCGCCATCTCGTACGCGCGACTACAGGGCAAGCAGGCGATGATCGCTCGATTCCAGAACTCGAGTCTACTGGACAAGCACGAATCCTATCGTCCGCTGGTCTTCGGGAGTTCTGGGTCGAATCGAGGCAAACCGGAGCCGTTCCCAGCCCCCAAGCAAATCGTTCACAAGAAACAGTCAGTGCACTCTCCTCATTTTACAGCGGACGACTATGGCAGCTACGTAGCCCATCGAATGTATGCGCAGCAGCCACCACAGCAGCAGCAGATGCAGCAACAACATTCACTTGCTGTGTATCCCCAGCAACTCGTGGGGATGCCTCAACATGCCATGCCTCCTCTTCCGACACCCCACTTCGGCATGCAGGCACTGCCGTTGCAGTATATCCCCTCGTACCAGCAGAACGACCCTCAATTGGCGTCGCCATTTTTGTATGGGGTGGCAGGGATGCCGTCGACTACGCTGGACTACACGACGTGAAGAGCAAACGTGTCCTGCTTTGGCGATCGACTCAAGCTCCTGCCTACCTTCGTATTATTTTGTTGAGCGCTCGTGTACTCTTGTTTCCCTTTTTTGGCTTGCTGGTTTTTGATACCTGCTCACTGTGTACTTTGATTAGCTGACTTTTTAGTTCGATTAACTACCTCGGAAATACAGCAAACTAACACCGTGAACAGATCAATGCAATGCAAATAAAGAGCACGCAACATCCTCCCCCCAACCAGCTCAGCTCACGTCGCGAAGAGGAACCGCAGATCTTCCTCGGTAAGACGACAGATAGCACTCACGTTGGCTCCGACAGTGCCTTCGAAGATCAGCCGCTTCTTCTCTTGAAGCTTGAGAATGCGTTCCTCGACGGTGCCAGCGATGATGAAGCGAGTGGCCTGAATCGGCTTGAACTGACCTAATCGATGCGTGCGATCAATAGCTTGATTCTCAGCTGCAGGATTCCACCACGGGTCCATCAAGAAGATGCTGCAACAAACACAAGAGTTAGACGACTGCAGAGACGCCAGCAAGAGGAGAGAGCGTCAAAACTTACTGTGACGCGACAGTCAAGTTGAGTGCGACACCTCCTGCCTTGAGACTGATCAAGAACGCCGTCACTGTGGGGTCGTCTCGGAAGGCTTTGATGGTTCGGTCTCGCACGCTAATACTCATGTTGCCGGACAGTTTAACACAATTGACTCCCCCGAGTTGCAGACGGTGCTGGATGATATCGAGCATGTTGACAAACTGCGAGAAGATGATGGCCTTCCCGGACGGGTCACGAGCGCGCATGAGCTCCAGCTCTTGCATAAGCGCTTCGATCTTGGTGCTGGACTGGAAGGCGTGAACGTCCGAGATCCGATGAAGGATACTGTTGCGATGGAAGCTCGACAGGTTCACAGCCTTCGGGGACCGGATCTCCTCGATCGAAAGGGCTTTGACTTCCTCCACAGGTGGAGACAGGTCCACTGTCAGCGGTTTTGAGCACGTTGGACATGTCGCCTCTCCGCCCGCTGGAAGCGACTCGATGTATTCCCTCACACACTCGCGGCAGAATTCGTGGCCACATTTCGCGACGACGCTGTCTTCCATGTATTCGTGACAGATTGTACACGATCGCTCGTCCTCTATGCAGGCAGCGTCAGTCGCACCAAAAGGCTGCTCTTCCACCAATGGAGCAGCTGAACTCGGGAGTTGGAGTGCCGGGTTTGTCTTGGAGTAAATAACGAGGTATGGATGGTCCACTGCTTGGCGAAGACGGATCAGGAGGTCGAAGATGTGGGCGTAGTTGTTCAGCAGCGTCCCCGACGACACGTACGTGTTGAACTGCGCTTGGCTCTGTGTGTAGATGGCCTCGTAGAAGTCATTTTCACGCTCGTCCAGCCGGTCCTTTCGGATTCGCACGAGCTTGGGGGGAAGTGAAATGTCGTCTGCGCGTCCTTCCTTCGTACGGCGTAGCAGAATCTGCAGACAAATCACGTTAAAGGGCATCCGCTTCCCATAAATCAAGCCTTTAAAGGCAGTACTTACGTGCTGGAGAACGTCGTTCTGCAATCTCTGCATTGCAAGCTTGCCCTCGCCGACGTAGCCGTACGCCTGGATTGGAATAACGACCTTTTTGTTGAAGTACGAGTAGTGCTGGATGGCGCTGTGCGTACACTTCGCACATTTTTTATCCGGGAAACTGGATCAACCAATGACAGACGCGTCAGATATAATGGACAATCTACAGTAGATGGTAAGTTAACCACACGTACTTGTAGTCCAGCATTTGGCAGTCGCACGTATTGCAGTGATAATAAGCGAATTTCTTCACTTGGAGGAACCGAACCAGTGAAAACAACTCGCCAATACGGTTTTGCAAAGGCGTTCCTGCGCAGAAACGACAATAAACTTGTGGTTAAGCCCACACAATCCTATCGATATTCCGCCACCACAGCCGTACCTGATAAGCACCACTTGTACTTTGACTTGAGCTCGAAGACACCACGCGCAGTGTTGCAATTGCGGTCCTTGATGTAGTGGGCCTCGTCCAGCACGATACGCGTCCACTGAATCTGGTGAAGAGGTGACTTGCCTTTTGTCTTCTGGAGTGTCGCCTTCTTGCCATCATCATTCTTCTTCGCTGGACCCTTAGGTTTTCGCACTGGTTTCTTCAAGCCATCGTCTTCTTCACTGCTCTCACCAGCGGCTTTCTTCTTGGTCTTCTTCCTCTGCTGTTTATCCTGCAACGCCGTCTTCCTGGCATCCGGTCCGCAAAAATATTTGTAGTGCGACACCAACTTGTCAGGTAGGTACTTCCTCCCACAATATTTGCACGCAACTTTCGACCATCCCAGTGTTTTACGGATCTCACTCTCGATAATAGAGTAAGTCGTCAGCACGATATCGTACGATGCAATCTTCTCCACCGAATCCAAACGTTTGGCACCGTGATGAATGTACACAGACAGGTGACCAGGCTCCACAAACCGCTCGATCTCGCTCTTCCACTGCATGACGGCAACAAGAGGACAAACAACGAGAGTTCCACCGTACACTGTCGATGAGTTTCGGGCTTTAGCTGCCTTCCCGCTGGGCTTCTCACGGACATTTTCCAGCATGAGCGAAATGGCCTGAATGGTCTTTCCCATACCCATTTCGTCAGCGAGAATGCCGCCTTTATAGCTGCTTTGTTCCTGTCCGACCATCCAAGCCAGAGCTTCTCTCTGATACGGTAACAGAGTGGCAGTCAAGTGCTTGGACGGCTCCTTTTCTGGCATACGACCTTTCTTGTTGAAGTGGTCGTCTGTGAGAGGGAGACGCTCGTCGATGACTCCGTTCTCGTCGTTCTTCTCCATGTACTCACGCACACGCTTCTGATCTGCAGCATGGAGCCGTGAGAAGCCGTCAATCGGATCGTTATTTTTCTTCTTTGTCTTGGCAGGTTTCTTGTTCTCGTCTTCACCTTCTGCCTCTCCTTTGGCAAGTCCAGCTTTCAGTCCGATCGCGGTACACTCCAAATGCTACAAAACAAGTAGCAGTTAGATGAGTATTCATCCATAGAGGCCAGAAAGACACGTACTTTGTAATATGTCCCGTCACCGAAGATCGAGTGTCGAATGTCTACACCAACTCGAAGCTGCTTGATGAGAAGCTTCTGCTCGCAGCTCTTGCACTGCATTTAACATGCATTAGCAGCATTATAACACCATCAACATCGCACTTGAGGTCACCTACCTTAGCTCTGCCATTGGCTGCGTATTCAATGAAGTAGTGGGGACCATCGTAGAGATCCTCCACGTCCGAAATCTCACTCTCACCAACAATTTCAATGTCTAAGGAGTCAGCGTCACTACCATAGATGTTGTTGACTGTAACGGGGCGAGCAGAGACATCTACAGGAGTTGTTGGTTGCTCTCTAATGCGATTCATTGCGGTGCGTTGTATCGGAGGGGATTTCTTCATGACTGGGCGTCTTCTGATTGGTTTTCGCTCTGCTTCATCGCTCGACACAACTGAATCCTCCTCGTCTTCTTCAGACGCACTCTCTCCGACGAAATCACTGTCAGCGTCGTTGTCTTCATCGTCGTCATCGTCACTTAGTTCAACTGCAGCTATCCGAGACGAGGCACGACGCGCCGTTCGACCACTGGCTCGTGGCTGCGTCTTCGCCTTCTTCTTCATAGGAGCCTTCCCGTTCGGACGCTTCGTGATCGTCTGAGCAATAGGTTTCTCATCCAAATCATCGTCCCCCTTCTTCTGCGTGGATCTCGTTGATACTCTACGTCTCTTGGGCGTCGGCTGCGCTACCTCCTCCACTTCCACCGGAGCCTCTCGCTTTTTTCTCTTTCCATTGATTACACGCTTCCCGGTCGCTTCGCCTTCTCCCTTGCAGTCGGAACACTGCCACGCGTCTACCAGCTGCGGTCGACGACGCAGCGGAGGTGTGAGGCAACCGAGATGGAAAAGCTTCGTGCAGGCCGAGCAGTTCACTGTCACACGCTGCGATTGCTCCTCGCACACTGCACACACCTCTGCATCTGTATCCGAACTCTCAGACTCTGCTGCCGGCTGCCGGGAGCGCAGTCTTGCCATCACTCGACACTCGTTGCTCACTTCACTTCAAATTGCCGACTGATGGCAATTGGAACCGTCAACCACCAGAGTGAATATCAGACGGACAGAAAAGAGACGATTTTTTGCCGCGTATGACAGCCGAGTTTGATCTGCTGGCGCCAACGTCATAAAGCACTTTTCCTGAAAAAAAGTTCTTGCCTTCACTGCTCATATTAGCTTGTGGCCCACCTTAATAAAATAAAGGTCAAAAGTGGCAATGCGCCTTTTTCTATACAAAGTACTTTTTATTCAAAAAGCCATTTTAGAAACCACTTCAAGTGCAACAAATGCTTTTTTTTAGAACACCGGATGGAGTGGATTATCATAGCAGACTATTTTCCAGATTTTTGCGATTTGGATACGTCCTGGCAAATTCGATCGGTTCTTACGAGACGGTCATGGACGTCAAGTGGGCGAAGGACCCTGGAGGCAGCACCAGCTTCTTACGGGAACGCAACGCGCTCTCGGCGTTGATTTTCTCCAGCAACAGACGGAATTGCTCCACTTCTCGGTCGATCTCGTCTTCCTCCGGGTCGCGCACCTCCGTCTCCGAGTCGCCACTCCCGTCCGTCAATGCTAAGGCAGGCTGCTGCTTCTCTGATGCTGCAGACTTACACTTCGGAGATGCTGGCGTCTGCGACTGAGTATTTGTATCTCGAGAGCTCACCTTCTCTGTCGCTTTCTGTGCTGCGGCCTCTTTTTTGCGGCGCTTCTTTTCCTTTTTGCTCTTCTTCTTTCGACTGCTAGTGGAGGGTTTCTGACTTGCCTTGAGGTCGGCAAGTTCGTCACGCAGCAGTTCAGCCTGAATAGCAAGCGAGTGCTGCAATGCCTCTTGATACGCGTCTTCCAGCTGTTCTCTAAACTTGATGGCGAGTACTTCCAGCAGATATTCCTGTGCCAGATGTGACGTGTTCGCTCCAGGACATGTGTCATCGACATCGTCGTCGTCTTCGCTGTTTTCGCTTTCATCGTCATCGAAGCCCGGCCGGAATGGAGACACGTAGCTGAACTGCTCGCCACAGCGGATGAGATCCATAATGAAGTCCGTATGGTCCTCTCGAATAATGATATAGCGTTCCTCTTTCTGAATAAGTCGCAGCAGCTCGTCTTCCTGCCGTTTGCCCACTTCTAGCGCTGCCAGATACTCGTCCGACAACATACCGCCCTTGCCGCCGGCACCCCGTCGCCCTTCGCGCTCCAGTTCATATTTAAACACCAGTTCCTCCTCCTCTAGCACCAAATCCTCCATATCTTCGTCTGACTCGTCCTCCAACTCGTCTGCCTCCTCGTCGCAATCCTCTTCATCGCATTCGTTATCTTCCTCATCGCTATCGTCATCCTCATCATCCAAAAACGGAGGGAAAACACTGAAAACATCCTGCAGAGAGCGGCTCCCTGAGCGCTTCCGCTCGTGGTCTTCCCACTCTGCAATGACATTGTCGTGGCACTCGCAGCACAGATTTTGGCCCACAAGGAACTGGTCCAGCGCTGTCAGGTACGTCTCGCGGCGGATTCGCAGCAATCGCCGCTTGGCCACAAGTGATAATTCCCTCCAGAAATTGATGAGCTCCTCGCGAGTGTAGCCCTTGGGACCGTTCAGCCCCGTCACGCTGTTATTGCTGCTTGTGGAGCCCGTGGAGGTCACTGGCGCAGCGGATTCTCCACTTCCAGCGCGCACTGCTCTGGGAGTGAAGCGGCTGCTGAGTTCTCGGGTGAAGTCGCTCTCGGTCGGCCACAGGTTGCTGTCGTATCATATACAGAATGGTCATCAGTTGTGGAGACGTGTGACTTGATCGCCATTGACAGGGACAGCTATTTACCGATACTTGCGCGCCAGCATGAAGCCTGACGAGCGTCGCATCAGACGATGACGGTGAAGCAACAGGTCCGACTTGGCGCCGGTCGTCTTCGTATCGCGATGGACGTGCGTCGTGGTCTTGGGGCCTCGGCGCGTCATTTTACGGGGAGAGCTCGATTTATTTTCTGCGACTTTATCTTTTTGGCTGTATTGGCAGACTCTTTTGATCCTAAAACCCAGTGGTTTTTCTGTCACCTTGGAAAAGAACCACTAAATCTTGGGGGTGATAAAGTATTTAGGTGGTCTAAAACTAAATGAATTATACCAAGTTTCTTCTTCAGTCTTCCACAAAACAACGAATGTCTTCACTTGCAGCGACCCAAGCCGACGGCTACTACTACCCGGCAGACTGGAGACCCGAGCATGGCTCGCTCAATACGTTCCACGGGTCTCACCCATTGGGTAAGCGCGCCAAGAACCTGGCGAGCGACGGCGTGTTGGTAGTACGCTTTGAGATGCCCTTCAGTGTCTGGTGTACTCATTGCGACTCGCACATCGGACGGGGTGTCCGCTTCAACGCGCGCAAGAAACGAGTGGGTAACTATTTTTCGTCTGCGGTCTGGGAATTCCGCATGAGCTGTGCTAGCTGTAGCGGCGAGATGGTGATCAGGACAGACCCCAAGGCACGCGGCTATGAAATGGTAAGCGGTGTCAAGCAGAAGGCAGGGACAGTGGACACCGAAGAGAGGCAGACGGAACGCCTGAATGACCCCAAGCTAGCCGCCAAGCTTCAGGATGATCCGTTTCTCAGACTAGAGCACGAGAATGAGGACAAACGAGCAGCCAAAAAGCGGTCGCGTGGACTCGAGGCCCTCGTGGAGTTGCAGGATGCTGAGTTCAAAGACGACTATGCCAGTAACTCGGCGCTTAGATCACAATTCAGGAGCAAAAAGAAGCAGCTTAAGAGCAGAGAGCAGGAGGCGAAGAGATTGGGCCTCGGTATACCGCTGCTCGACGTGCACCAGGACGACGTGCTAGCTTCGAGATTAGTCGTGTTCAAGGACATCACGCAAAAGCGACGAGCACGTTCGAGCCATCGGCCTACAGAATCGTCAAAGGCACGCTTCAGCGGCTCGAGAAAGGCTACTACTGCTGCGAGAGTGGACTCGTTTCAGCACTTCGGCGACCCCGTCGGGTCTCAACTGCAGCGACTCAAGGCTGCCAAACGAGCTGGGAAGAAACGGACCGCGACAGCATCTCGGAAATGATCTTATCGGTCGCAGTTCCTAATTATTAATGCACGTGTACTGGTGACCAACGCTCGAAGGCGACGTTTTACTCAAAAGTGACAATTTATCAAATATTTTCTCCATAAAATAAAGTGTCGTTAAGACTTCACTGCAGCAGATCAGTAGGCTCACTCAAGAGCAGCACACAGACGCGGGACGTCGCTACAGAGCACCGCGAGTGACTTGAACGCGCGATCTTCGTCTCCCTGCCACACTTGCAAACACTCCTCTGCTGTCAGCACCATTTCGCTCGAGTAATTCGAATCTTCACTGTAGGCACAGTAGGCCAGTAGCACGCGTACGATGCTCCTCTTTTCGCTTTCGCTGGCTTCTGCTGCGTGTTCGTCCACATCTTTCGTAATGACCTCAAAATTGTCGTGTTTGCCGCTGATAATAAATTCCTCGACGCGCATCGAAGTGTCGGAGATGCTCGAGGCGAGCTGCAACAGTCGCTCGCCCTCCGTCCGGCTAGCATCGCTCTCCTTCTGGTTGTTGTCCGGATCGGCATAGAACGCTCGATCTTCTTCTAGCTTCGGTAACAGCTCGTACTCGTCGTCCAAGTCGCTCAGCTGGTTCGTGCCGTCAGTGTCATAGGCCGTCTCGTCGTCCTTGACTTCTGCTGCATTGTTGTCAGTATCCTCTGGTGAATCGCTCTGTTCTGCTTCTTCTTGTTGCACTTCGGCCTCTGCCTTGAGACTCTCAGCCTCCAGGTTGGCGCTGTGTTGCAACTCTCGAAGCGTCTTTGTCGGCCGGGGGGCTGTCTCGAAGACATCGTGGAACTCGTCGAATACGTCATCGTAGTCCTGCGGTGGTAATGTGCGCTGTGGGCTCGCGCTCGCGATAAACTTCTTGGCGATGAATACGAGTGACGTAATGAACGCGGCCCTGGCACGGGCTGTAGCTGCCGCGGCCCAGCAACTCATCACAGCGGCAGTAAGCGCCATCTTCGACGAAAGCGCACGCAGCAATGCCGCCTGTTGCGCCGCACACCGTCGATGCAGTGGCGAGCCGTGACGCTGGCGGCCTCGCAGTGCACCAACCTGCGCCTTTACGATTGCATATACGGCCTCAGAGCGGCTGTGCGCGCGACAGACCGACGAGACGAGGAAGTTGCCCATGCTCGTAGATCAAAATGTATCAATGCCCAGCAGCTTTTCTCAACCCAAAAATAGCTCCAAGTTGAAGCGGCGCTTTTTCCGCGAATCACAGGCGCTTATTGGGTGTTCGCAAGGAAAGCTTCATGTATTGACGTGGATCGATTCCTTGGATTGTACTTCGCCGTGCATGAATATACTGATAGACTTAAGTTCTATTCCACCATCGTGGCCATGCATTGAGCTGGCACTATTATTCCTGATCTTTTTGGTGTTGTACGCCGTTGTTGTGTAACCGAGCAGGTCCGTTCTTCGACCAAGACCTCTTCAATTTAGTATGCCAGGCTGGAAATGCGAGAAGATTGTCTTATTCGGTATTCAGTCCGCCGGGCACTGGCTGTCAACCAAGCTCTGTGGCAGCACGTTGAAGCCAACATGCTGCCCAACTGTAGCCATTCATAAAAAGTAACGAATTTCATTCACTGATCAACGTCCACCTCTTTGGGATTGCCAATGGATGGTACTTTTGTATTTTTTTTTTTTTTTGGTATTTAATACCTGTTGGCAGGACCTCACGCCATGCAACGTGCTACTTCCGCAGAAGTAGGACTTGAAAGTAGAGCCGGGTTAGATTTCTCGTAACTGGAGACCGCTTTGTTTGTTTTCAAGAGCCGCCGCCTTGGTCTCAATGGCTCTCTTTACAAGAGGGTTCTGTGTAGTCTCATAAAAAGTATCTTCAGTCAATAATGATGTCACTATGTCCTCACACTGCATTTATTAGCGAAGAAATGTACTTTAAGGTTCACCGTCGCAAACGAGATGAGATCCCGGAGGTTCGAGGACTACTTGCCAGCACTTCGGCCAGAATGACCCGGAAGAAGGCGCAATCGATTTCTATGGTGTCGAAGGGGAAAGATAAGGCTTGGATAATGAGTGCATTGAATGAACTAGGAGACACCGTGTGTGTGCCGCTCAAGTAGATGATCCTCTTGTGTTGAAGAATCAAACCTGCATTACCGGTAAATGACCTTCCAAATATCAAAAGTTGACTTAATATAGTACCATAAATCGTCAATGGCTCTTTCCTGCAAAACTGTTGACTAAACCAACATAAAGTTACACAAACTGAAGTTGCAAATGACACAGCTCCACGGCGCCTGTTACATCACTCTCTAATCCGCGCCGCCAGCCACACGCGTTCCAGCCGCCATTTGCAGACATGACGGCGCAGGAGTTCAAGACCGTGGAGCAAGATAATAACGAGGCCACCACTGCGGTCACGCCCGAGAAAGAGGACGCTCCGTTCGTGTACGAGACGCCAGGCTTCTTCTCCGAGGACTCGCGAGTGCCGCAGTGGGCTCAGAACCTTGCGACCGACCTCTTCAGCTTCGTGACCATCCACTACAACGTCTGGGGCGTGCCCTTCCTTGTGCTTTTCTACTATCTCTACAGTATCGGCTACGGCTACATGCCCGTGGCGCTCGTGGCGCTCTACCTCCCGTCCTTCCTGAGTGGTGCCCAGAAGACAGCAAAGGGGAACCCGTGGCCAGCCTTCCGCTCCAGCGGCATCTGGGGCCTTAGCGCCAAGTTTCTCGGCATCAAAGTCATCCGGGAACAGGCACTGGACAGCAACAAGAAGTACATCTTCGGCTTCCACCCGCACGGTATCATTGTGCTGTCACGCGTCTCCACGTATGGCGGCAACTGGGAGAAGGTCTTCCCAGGCATCGAGACGCGAGGTAAGGCGCTTCTGGCTGAATTTATTTTACTCGTAGGTATTAACTGTATGGTGGTGTCATTTGTCAACAGCATTGGGTGCCTCAACCATGTTCTACGTCCCTCTGGGCCGTGAACTCTGCCTGTGGCTCGGCGGCGTCGACGCCTCCCGCTCCACAGCCGACAAGGTTCTCAATGACGGCACTAGCATCGTCGTGTACCCCGGCGGCGTACCTGAAATCTTTAAGACGGACCCCAACTCCAAACTGAACGAACTCGTGCTGAAGAAACGTCTCGGGTTCGTCAAGTTGGCCATGCGCCACGGAGCGGAGCTGGTGCCAAGCTTCGTGTTTGGAGAGAAGTGGCTCTACAAGTAAGTGGACAATGCACTTTGAAAATCGATTAGTATACTGACCTCCCGTGTTGCAGCATGTGGAATCCTCCTCAGGGAGTGATCGACTTCTTCCGCAAGACGCTCAAGATCCCGATGATCATCTTCTGGGGCAAATTCATGTGGATGCCCAAGCAGCCTCCTAAGGGCAAGCGCTTTGGCGTCGTGTATGGTAAGCCCATTCCCACAAAGCAGACGGACAACCCCACTGAGGAGGAGATCCGCGCTGTGCACACCCAATACGTTGCGGAGATCGAACGTCTGTTCTCGCAGTACAAGAAGGAGTTTGGCTATGACGACGACGAGACTTTGCTCATCAACTAGGCTTGAAACTCGAGTTACGCTGAACATGTCAACATGATTCTATTTTTCTATGGCGTCTGTCTTGGACACCGAGTCGACGATACTGTCCTCGTCAAACATCCGCAGTAAATTGGCGTAGTTGGAGTCGTATTTGGGGCCTTCCCAGTAGATTTTATGGCACACGCGACAGACCCAAAACTCAGTCACAACCTCCAGCACATTTGGATGCACTTCATCCTCCGTTTGGTTGCGCACGTAGTCCAAGTCGACGACATCAAACCCCTTGGCGTTACAACGCGAGCATCGCGACATCATCTCGTCCTTGACGAGTTTCAGTGCGAAGTGGGTCTTAATCTCCTGGAACTGTTTGAATGGGTCGTCACTGGACACCACGAAGCATGCGCCGGCATCACGTCGATTGGCCAACTTCTTGTCACGAGTGAGTAAAATACGTTGCTCGCATACAGACAGAGCCAGTAGAGCCGCCTTGTGATCCTGGCTAGCGGTTTTCTTGGGGACCGAGTAGGGATCCCAGATAATCACGTCCATCCCAATAGTTCGGAGCCACTTCCCAACACGCGCCACCATTGAATCTGCGAGGAATTTGTACTCTCGAATTGACACTTTTCTCTCTTGACGAGCAGGTGGTTTAGTAGCTTGTTCATTTATTGATTCGACAGCGGAAACCCCCCTTTGAATGTCGCCTACAGTCTCGATGTCGATCAGGGCGAAGTAAGCCTTCGAGTTGAGCCACAATAAAGATTCATGGGACCCTCCACCACACACGAGAGATTTCACATGTTGCAGCGTGCTGCTGGCGTAAATTCGAACGCGATGATCTGATTGCTCTCGGTGACCAAAAGGGGGGATTGTCCCTGGTTCGAAGCCAAAGTAGTCGCAGCACTCTGCAGGTGTCGCGAGTTTGATTCGTCTCCGGCTGACACCGCAGAGCATCGCAAGTTGAGCGGTGTCGAGCTTGCAGTTCGCCTCGATGCAAGCAACGCACGGTTCCTCTGTGAATGGGTAGACAGCAACACTTCAACAATTAGTACAGATTGAAGCTTTCAGGGGGCTACACTGCGCTCACCATCGGCAAAGAAGCAGATAGCGTTGACCGCTATAAACGTAGCTGGTTGTTCGGAATCGCGGGATTGTTTGAGAAGGTTTCGGACAGTAAGAGGATCAAGGAACGTCAGTGCCGTGTCCAAAATCTCTTGATCTGCTCCAGCCCCAGTCTGTAAGTGCTTGAGTTCATTTTCTTGGTGTTTCCTTTTGCGTTCTTCCCAGCAACCCTCAACGTCTTGCGGAGTCAACAGATTTGCCACCACATCACCACATAGAGGCTTCTTTCTACTCTTCACCCAGTCTTTATGGTACTTGTTCCGTAACGAAATAGCCTCCACTGTCTCCTCATTCGTCAACGGGGACGGATACGCAAGTTCATGGATTTCAGCTGCTGTAGCTTCCCAAGGTGGTAGCTTGGTATCTTCATTCTTACGGCTGCAAAAGCATCAAGTGTGAGTGTGTAGTCACATTGGGACAGACTGTAAGATGCCCAATACTCACAGTTTGTTAGTGATCTGAACAAGACAGTAAGCGTCTAGAGCGGCATACGTGAGCTGGGGTTCTGTGAGCGGGCGTACATCCCAGTTGGACATTTGCATTCGCTTGATCCCAACACAAGCACAAGCAGTACAGCAGTCAATGAGAAACATGACTAACTAAACAATGCTTTCGAGTTACCTTATCCAGAGGACTACCTAGGATTGTGCTTGTGGCATTCGACAAGCTGTTCCCCACTGACACCCCGAGTAGCTTGGATACAACGGCACTCAACTGTAAGAAATGGGACGTGATTAGTGGTGGCTAATGATTACCAAGGTGCTGCGGAGCTTACCTCCAGAAAGGGAGTGATGTTAATCAATGAGGATCGTTCGGGAAATGTCTGATGGAGCACTGCATAACAAATGGCCATTAGGTTAGTAAAAACACTTAAGTACCTAATTGTTATAATTGCAGCACGATCTGTACCTTTTAAATCCGTGTCAAAGCCAAACCCAACTTTGAGGAGAAAAGGATCGGCAAACAAACGTCCAAGCAAAGTCTCGAAGAGAAAGTCATTATCCTAGAGCAAGAACAAAAAGTAAAATACATTAGCCAGATACACCATGCAACCAGCAGATTCAGATCTTACCTGGAGGGCAAGCAGGTCGATAACAAAGACCCGTGATGACGACGAAATTTGAAGAATACTCGCCATGGCACTTGTTGTTTTCGAACCAGTAGCGGCTGCAATTTTGCTTGACGTTGGTTTCCACTCCACATCCAGACCAACGATTCGCTCTGCAGCGAATGCGGTGCGACTTGGTGCATTTATCGGTTCGTTGCTGTTTTCCAAACTAAAATCAGAGCCTCTAAAAAGGTGATCCATCGCGCTTCGTAGAGATTCTTCAGTATCGCACATGACAACGGATTCACTGCCCAACTCGAATGATAGACAGCCGTTCAATGCAGCTGCATTTGCGGAGTGTGAAAGTCCATTCGTCCTCAACAAACCTCGTTTCGCAATCATGTCCGCTACTTGAGCATCGAAATCTGGGATCGCAAGGATCTGAGCGAGTCGAGAGGCCCACTGGATTTCACCCGCAGCCACCATGTGATCGAATAGCAGTTTTTGCAGTGAGAGATCGTTGCCAGCAAAAGCTAGCGCCATTTGCCAGCGCTGGCGCTCGATAAGCTTCATTAACCCGTCATGGCAGTACTGGAGATCTACATCAAGTAAGCATTCATTAGTACAGTCCATCTAAATGGGCATGACCTTGATACGCACCAATATCAGGATACTCTTCCTGGAGACCAAAATTGTTGACGATGCGATGCGCCTACAGCAGATTACAACAAATGGAAGTAAGTATATGACACTGGAAGCTCGAGGAAATCCACGATAATATTACGCGTTTCACATCCTGAATGGCAATGGCCTCATCCACCAGCACCTTTGCCAGCTCTGCTCATCACAGAATAACGCGTTAGGACCCAATATAACAGCACAACTAAGCATTCGTTACCATTGTTGTCTGATTCTCCAAAAGTCCTTGCTAGGAGCTCTGCAGCTGACCAATCCTTCCACTTGGTCATCGTCCTGACGGTCGAAGCGAAGGACCAGTCCAACGAACTGAAGATAGTACAGAGTTTGATTAACCCCGTGTATTTCTTGGACGCAAGCAAGCTCTGAGCGGCATCTCGAACGGCTTGGGGGTTGATGTCCGTAATAGCAAACAGAGCCATAATTTCAACTACCAGCTTCTGATCCTGCATCAGGAGAGAGAACAAGTCGTTATCACTGAGCCACCCAACTGCATCCCACCAGATACACATACCACAAAAGTTGAATCTTGTAGCCCATGCACACAAAAATCTCTCAATGCTTGGTTCTCATTACCTTGAATGTGGCAATGGCGAAGTTGTTGTCTCTTTCCCTCCCCTTCTGTGAGTTTTCTCAAAGCGTTGATCACCATAAAAGCCAGCGGGGCGTAGGGCTGCGACCTCTTTTTCGTCTTCTTGTCCATAGGTTTCTCCGTTTCTGTCCCAACTAACTGCACCATATCCTTTTTTCTATCTGATGTATTTCGCTGGGACGTCTCTTGTGCCAGTTGTAGCACGACAAGCACGGCAAACACCCAAAAATCGCTTTCATCGCCAGCACTGAGCTCCTCGAACGTCTGCACCAACTTCGTCTCCATTTCTAGGAATTTGCTGGTCCTGCGTACAGTGGCTTTGGTCATGTAGAAAGCATCGTGGATGCAGAGCACCCACTTTGAAGCCACGCTCGCGTCTGCCAGCGCATTGTTACGCAGCACAAAGAGCTCCGACAGTTGTCGCTCTAAGTTCATTTACTGATTTGCGGGAATGTAAATTTCGTAAAAGTTTAAATTAGATCATTTTACAGATCATTCCCAAATTAATCACTGAGATACATAATAATCTATCAAGATTGATACCTTGTCACCAGGAGTTGATACAATACAAGACTGATAAAGAGAGTGCATGCTGCATCCAACTCAAACCTCAGACGAGCGGGAGCGACTGTACATAAATAATCTGCTCCACGAGCATAGATTGTGAGTTTTTACCGCTCGTTCATTAAAGTATGGGAACAGGGAGCACTCTCCAGAATTTGTACGACATTGTACGCACTAGTTCGCTTATTGCAGGACACGGTATCCTGAATTTCCAAATGCAAGGAAGCGCAATCGATCAAGTAATCGGGATTGTCGCTGTTTTGTAGGATAGATCTTGCCATTTGTATGCAATCGTAGGAAAAATTGCCTCTTATTTATCCGCAATACCAATATTTGCACACTGGAATATCTTAGCGTTTGTATGCACACGACACATTGCAAGGTTGTGGTCTTTTTGGTTGTGATTTTTCCTACAGGTGGCCAGTGGCGTGCAATTCGTCAAAACGAATCAAGCCAGAGAGCAGCAAGCCGACCTTCCTTCTTCTACCAGCATGACCACGGCCACGCAACCCTCCAAGACCAACAAGACCAGCATAGCTGCAACAAGGGCGGCCAGCAGCGCTTTCAATACGTGTGACGCCGCGTCGAAGTGCCTTGTAGCTGTCGTAACTAGTTTCGTGATGCTAAATATCGCTGGTGTGAGAGGTCGATAAAAATCTAATGCAAGTTGACTATGTAGCGATGCAGCAGCCCTCGAACGTGCTGTTCGGCCGTCTATGATTAGTCATAGTGAAGATAATTTGAGCAGTGGGGTATCTGAGTGCGAACGTGACAGCTCCTACTATCCGGCGCGCACCCTGACGCCACAAGCGCCTGTCCTCAGTGACGCATGGGTGTGAACCACTATGATTAAGTTTTTATTGGCAATGGGTGTAGACGATGGGTGCGCATCCTTTGCACTGCATAAGTAGTTTGCTAGCCTAGGCAGTAGCTAACAACAGCCAGGATTTATCTCTTTAACATTCAATCCGTTCGCATTTTACTTCGAAGGACTCAAGTAGCTACGGCAAACGTGTGGTGATAAATGGAGTTGATGAGTCGAGTGCAGTGTATGGTACATCTACAGATGATCTCGGTGTAAATGGCGATAACGTAACAGCGCATGATGTCCGTGAGGCATGAATCTCTGGTAGAACGTAACAGGCTTATCGTGGCAGCCTCAGGGTGATATCGAAATGGACGAAAAAGAACGAAAGGGCAGCATAGTTTGACTCGACTGGACAAATTGAGTTGAGGAATTTACGCCATGTTCTTTTTTCGGGCTGAAGCGTTTGCAAGCGGCTAAGTTCCAATCAGGAGCACCAAAAGAATAGGGTAAGGATCCATTCCCATATTCGCTGTATCAGCAGCTATACCCAGCGACATTAGAAAGGCAGGACGCGGGTTTCACACATTTTTTTTTCTAACGACAATGGAACTTAATGTGCCGTTCGGAGTCAGTACGAACCCTGTGCATGCAGCACTTTAGTGCTCACGACGATAGCATCGGCTGTACTATGCATCAATCTAAGACGAATCAGGAAGGCACTGGACACAAGGATCCGCGCCACATGTACGCGAATCCCCGTAGTCCTGCATCCTGTTGGGTCACTTCATTTGCTATCTACTTAGCATGTCGACCAACACAACAGCCAGTGTCACTGTTCCCAGGCTCTCGTAAAAACAAATTCGGTTCGGAAATACGCTGCGTCAAGCGATCACACAAATGACTGGGCTCAATCATTATGGAATCATTCGATACGGAAGGGTGTTGCAACATTTTCGTGCAGTGGAACAATGGTAGGACCGTCAATCTCTAGTTTTTGTTGCGCGTTGGATGGTCTCTTGGTGGTGTTCAGGATCGATACATCCGCTACGAATCGGCTAGTGATCAGTATCTATGTGGTGGAGTGGGGTTCGCAAAATCGCGTTGCGATCCACTC